AGCGACCATAACGACCAAGTTCGAGACCAAGCGTATGCCAAGCATTCGAAACCAAAATATCGACTGAGTGCGTTGACAAGAGCGTGGGTGGCCATCCAGCTTTCGCCAAAGTTGACTGAAGTCGACGGAACCAAACGGAGATGGTCGAAGGCGTGGGCTCAGGAAACAAAAAGAAAATCAAAAAAGAGAAGAGTGTAGCATGCGTGTAGTATAGGAATAATCCTACACCGTATCGTTTGTTAACTGTGCGGCTAGTCGCGGAAGCGTACGGGCAACCGTACTCGGCGACCGGAACGTGAGACGGTAGTCTCGTTCGTATCTCGTGAGCCTGCAATCTCATCCGAGGTCAGAGGCGGCGTGGTCTGCTGATCTGGACGTGAGACTGTCGTCTCGTCCGTAGACGGTGCAGATGACGCGTGCTGTTGACCGGGACGTGAGAATGAGGTCTCAGATGTATCTAGCGTGGGACCTGAAGAAGATTTAAGGATCCCGCTAGAGGTTTGATAGGTCTAGCATTGAATCTCAGGTTACCAGATAGGGCACTGTCATCGACGTGTGCTGGTTTGAGACGATCAATGCTGACGATCTCGACGCGGCCATGTCGATCAACCTTGAAGGTCTTTTCGTGACGAGCGATCACGTGAAAAGGGCCTTCGTAAGGTTGTTGCAAAGGTTTGCGTACCGAATCTACTCGTACGAAAACATGTGAACAGGTAGATAACTCTCGAGGGAGAGCGACCTGTCGATGTTGTATTCGAGTTGACACCGGAGACAGCGTTCGCATAAATGCAGACAGTCGATGGACGTAGTCTGATTTACCGAAATTAGGTCTGCTCCGTGGTGTGAAGAATTCTCCGGGCAGACGCAATGTCGTGCCGTATACCAGTTCAGCGGCGGAACATTGGATATCTGCCTTCAAGCTCGTTCGAATACCTAAGAGGACGAGCGATAAGGTTTCGTGCCAGTTGTCGTTCTCGTGTGCTCGTAGAGCACTTTTAAGTTGGCAGTGAAACCGTTCAACTTAACCATTTGGTGCTGGGAGGTAGACGTTACTGCGTATGCGAATGCATTCCGTACCAAGCAGCCGGGTCAGCGAGGAGAATAGTTAATAGGGGAAAATTTCTCGAATAAAGCGTGGAATTCATCGTCACGCGAATAAAAAGTAACAAGGATTCGGTACACATAAATGGGAGTCTATTATATTAATACTATTCTTATCGTTATCCGTCATGTCGCGTATATTATATATTAAAAAATATGAAAATATACGACAGACGTGGATAGATAAATCATAGACTCACCGAATTGGCTTCTTTGGAAGATTTGACCAGATGTTGAGGCGTGTTCCAAACTTTGGGATCACCAATTGTAGCGTGGCGTCGAGTTGAGGTTAACTATGAACACCGCTACAAAGAAACACGTGCCAAGTTAATCAGAAGGAGAAGGTTGGACGTAACCAAATAAATCCATAAAATCCCCGAGAAGCCAAATATCAGAAGGCAGTTAATGGACCAAGTCGATATGTATTCGCTGGCGATCTCGTGGCATCGAAAGGATACCGAGATCGTGCCAGGATACAAGCTTGGTTACAGAACGTAACCGAATTCGCGCGAAGTTACAATCAAAAGTGTGTGTATAAGAATGGAAGCACAAAATAGCTGTCATTAGCACAGTCAAACAAAAGCACATTAAAACAAGCACTGGTACAGTTGGTTATAATAATAATTGTTTTTATTAAACCAGTCGTGTTCTCGTGATAAATGTGGGTCACTACAGGCTTAGTACCGTATCGTAATGCTTTTATTATCTTGCTCTCATTTAAGTATTCCCATGCATCCGCGTCTAGTTTAACAGGAAGACATACAAGCAGAGTTAGTGTCTGATAAACTAAAAGTCACAGTTGTCAAAAACATTCTTAACATTTGTCCACAGCCAGCTGCATTTCATTGAGACACAGAACACTCATCTTCTAAGACTGTATACTGCTCTCCTGCAGGCAAATAAAAGCTCAGACACTTAGCTATCCTGCTACCGATGTTATTGCTGGGGAAATTGTTTGGTGACTGTGGTCTTGGAACATGAACAGTGTTAGACGTACTGTCTACAAATAAACACCAAACTTACTTAAAGCTATCTTATAATATATGACAGCAACAGCATCAATGACACGTCTTTTTCCTATTTTTATTCAAACTGATTTGAATCAGTATACTCATTAGAAACAGGCCGCTCTACTTACTAAACCGACCTGTTTCGTTGCAGGCTTCAAGTACTATACTTAAGTATTATACGACAACCAAGAATAATAAACTAAGCAAGTGTCATAGTTATCGTTTCATTTGCACAGACATGTTGCTCAAAGTAGTTAAATGGACATAACTTCAGCCGATAAAACCAAAACACGAAATATAGGCAAGTCGAACTTACTGTAGTGACACACATTTATCACGAGAACACGACTGGTTTAATAAAAACAATTATTATTATAACCAACTGTACCAGTGCTTGTTTTTATGTGCTTTTGTTTGACTGTGCTGATGACAGCTATTTTGTGCTTCCATTCTTATACACACACTTTTGATTGTGACTTCGCGCGAATTCGCTTATGTTCAGTAACTAAGCTTGTATCCTGGCACGATCTCGGTATCCTTGCGATGCCACGAGATCGCTAGCGAATATATCTCGATTTGGTCCATAAACTGCCTTCTGATATTTGGCTTCTCGGGGATTTTATGGATTTATTTGGTTACGTTCAACCTTCGGTGTCAACTTGAATACAACATCGACAGGTCGCTCTCCCTCGAGAGTTATCTACCTGTTCACATGTTTTCGTAAGAGTAGATTCGGTACGCAAATCTTTGCAACAGCCTTACGAAGGCTCTTTTCACGTGATCGCTCGTCACGAAAAGACCTTCAAGGTTGATCGACATGGCCGCGTCGAGATTGTCAGCATTGATCGTCTCAAACAAGCACACGTCGATGACAGTGCCCTATCTGGTAACCTGAGATTCAATGCTAGACCTATCAAACCTGCTAGCGGGATCCTTAAATCTTCTTCAGGTCCCACGCTAGATACATCTGTGACCTCATTCTCACGTCCCGGTCAACAGCACGCGTCATCTGCACCGTCTACGGACGAGACGATAGTCTCACGTCCAGATCAGCAGACCACGCCGCCTCTGACCTCGGATGAGATTGCAGGCTCACGAGATACGAACGAGACTATCGTCTCACGTTCCGGTCGCCGAGTATGGTTGCCCGTACGCTTCCGCGACTAGCCGCACAGTTAACAAACGATACGGAGTAGGGTTATTCCTATACTACACGCATGCAACACTCTTCTCTCTTTTGCTTTTCTTTTTGTTTCCTGAGCCCACGCCCTCGACCATCTCCGTTTGGTTCCGTCGACTTCAGTCAACTTTGGCGAAAGCTGGATTGGCCACCCACGCTTTTGTCAACGCACTCAGTCGATATTTTGGCTTCGAATGCTTGGCATACGCTTGGTCTCGAACTTGGTCGTTATGGTCGCTTCTGGTTCATCGGATCAACGTGGTTTCGTCCTACGTCTGCAGCGTTTCTGGTGCGCACCCCTGCGAACGCCATCTTCAGATTCTGGATACAAACTACTCTGGTGTAGCATGCCAACTCAAGCAACAAATACAGCACATCGCTCCTGGTACCGTTCTCCGAAAACGACCTTCGTTGGCAACTCGACGATCAACGATCGCTTTCCTGTTCGCCACTTCTTCCGTCCTACAATCGCTCGTCAGCCGATCAGTCCCTCGATTTAAACCGCTATTTATCGAAAGTGTAAACCCTTTCTAGCGATGGGCTCCTGTAGTGACCCACATTTATCACGAGAACGCGACTGGTTTAATAAAAACAATTATTATTATAACCAACTGTACCAGTGCTTGTTTTTATGTGCTTTTGTTTGACTGTGCTGATGACAGCTATTTTGTGCTTCCATTCTTATACACACACTTTTGATTGTAACTTCGCGCGAATTCGGTTACGTTCAGTAACTAAGCTTGTGTCCTGGCACGATCTCGGTATCCTTTCGATGCCACGACATCGCTAGCGAATATATCTCGATTTGGTCCATAAACTGCCTTCTGATATTTGGCTTCTCGGGGATTTTATGGATTTATTTGGTTACGTCCAACCTTCTCCTTCTAATTAACTTGGCACGTGTTTCTTTGTAGCGGTGTTCATAGTTAATCCCAGCTCGACACCACGCTACATTACCTAACAGAAGACAAAGGATATATAAGTTGCTTTTAGGCTTAAGCTATGAGTCATAAAAACATATTTTGCAGTACAGCAAACCATTCTTCAGTAAAAATATGCACTGATGGTCTATCTGGAAACAATCAAGTATATGATTAAACTCACTATGACTTGGGATATCATCCCAGCGTGCAATGAACTTACAGTGTAACGCAGTCAGATGTGGCGAATAAAAATTACGACCAGAACAAAATTAACAACATAATCTAGTTATTTGGCAAAAAATACGTTATGAAATGACAAATTCTATGATTACTTGAACGCACAGATGACTGATATGACAGTGGGCGATACATTAGACCCACATGGTTGCGTTGCGGATAATATCACCCTTTTAGAATAGATTATTCTTGTCTCACTAACCCATTAGTCGTTCGTGAAAGCTGGTGAGCTATTAAGGACCAAAAGCTACCTGTAAACGTAGCCTACATTAACTTCAGTATAGCTTTTGACAAAGATCCGCACAACCGGCTATTATATAAGCTAAGAAACGTCGGGATTGTTGGCAATCTATTGATGTGGATGAAAGATCTCGTAGTTTGGCGCCAACAAAGAGTACGGGTGAACTCAAAGCTATTGAGCTGGAAAACTGTGTTTAAAGGAGTGCCTCAGGGTACAGTTTTGAGGCTAGTGTTACTCCTTTTGTATGCAAATGACCTTCCTCGTTTCCTATCATCATCGATCTTGCTATATGCTAACAATTTCAAGATATGGAGAACGATGTGATGTAAGGGTGATAGCTTGGAACTCCAAAATGAGCCGGGGAAATTGTCTGAATGGTCTCAAACCTGGCAGTTCCCAATATGTACTCCTAAGTGTATTGTGATGCATATCGGTCATCAATGTACAGATACATACACGATGAATAACACTGAGCTACCTGTTGTCCAGACACACAATGACTTAGGAGTCATTGTTAGCCAAGACATAAAAACTACTGCACACTGCCGTGCAATTGCCGCCAAAGGTATTCGAACGTGATGGTCAATACGTAGGGCTTTTATTCATATCGACGATAAAACGCTTTTGACTTTGTATACAGCGTCCGTTCGTTCTAAACTTGAGTACTGCATACAAGAGGCTAGCATCTGCTTAAAAATGACAGTGAGCTTTTGGAAAAGGTTCAGAGAACAGCAACTAAGCTGACTCCCAGAATAACGAAGCTTCCGTATGATGCTCGGCTGGCTAAGCCAAACCTATTCTCGTTGTCATAACGAAGAATTAAAGGCGACTTGATTACAGTTTTCAAATTGCTTAGTGATAAATTTGCACCTGATATGCCCTCATTTTTTTGTCTTCCAAACAGAGAATTTACGAGGACACTCCAAAAAACTTCACAAGCCCAGAACAAACTACTTGCCAGCTGACTGTCAACTTTCCAATCGAATCTTCAGTGAGTGGAATGCATTAATTCAGCGCGTGATTGAGGCTCCATTCGTCGACCCTTTCAAAAGAAAGTTTGATCAGCTGAGAGACTATAATTGCCAGGACTAACATAGGCCATCACACCTCCTGTCCTTTCCAAACTGAAACTGAATTTCGGGACAAACTCTCAGACCTGCTATGGTAAATCTGATTGGTTTGTCCATAAATTGTAGTCTCGTTCAAACTGCATCGGGAGTCGGAAACAGATTAGAGGAACGAATTGCTCATAGCTAAGATGGCATTGATTTCATATTGTTTCTATTGTCTTAAAATGAAATTACAATAGTGATTTTTGCTATCTACATTATGTTTTTTGAAATGAATTAATAATTGACCAGGTTTCTTCACACTTTTAAGTCTGATTATTCATTGTTGTTTGTTATCAGCTTCACGTTGTCACAGATCTATGAAGTGACCTAATTATGTGTGTTTTATGATAAGCAATACATGGAATAAACGTTAAGCAAGGAATGAAATTTGAGTGCTAACGGTCGTATTTCGAATCTTTGCGATACGCTTCCCAAGTAAGCGGGTGGTGCTGAACCATGGTTCAGCACTATTTGACTTGAGTAGTATGTGAAGCAGCATGAAACAATAATTTGTGACTAAAGGAACTTTTCAAGTGTCATATTCGTTTATTGTGCTCGTGTTCCAGTCCAATGTTGTGTCAGAATGTAGTTGCTCAACAGTAACCATATGGACCCAAACAACCAAAAAAGGGCAAATAAAGGCGAATAAAGGGGAAATAAAGGGGTAAATGCCTTGGAAGAGAAAGGGGAAAACGCATCAGACTGTAGCCTTTTTCGCCAGTCCGGGGAAAATACTGCGGATTTCCCCCTTTTTGCCGCTTTGTCGATAAATTGCCAACTTTTCGCCTAAATATCCGCTGAATTGTCTACTTTTCGCCTGAATTCCTGCCGAATTGTCCAGTTTACGCCTAAATGTCCACTGAATTGTCTACTTTCCGCCTAAATACACACAGAACTCCCTATTTTTGTTTGGCTTTTGCCAACTTACGTCACCTATGGCGAAGGCGAAGCTATTAGTATTTGACCACAGATGCCTCAGAAAGATTGCTGGCGTCTGCTGGGATCATCGGATAAGTAATAGTGAGGTTAGACGCAGGGTATTAGGGAAGGATGGTAAATCAGTTGATGAGGTTGTGAATCTTCATCGACTGAGATGGTTGGGCCACGTGTTACGTATGCCTGAACACCGACTACCACGACGTGCAATGCTAACCGGCGTTCGGGACGGTTGGAAGAAAGTTAGGGGCGGCCAAACCAAAATGTGGCATCAGTGCTTGAAGTCACTAACTTCTAGTCTGAGCCATGTTGTGAGATGCAGACTAATTGGTTGGGGTCCGCGTGACTATCGTAACCAATGGTTGGAGACTCTGGGTTACATGGCTCAGAATCGATCACAATGGCGTAGGTGTATACACTTTTTGTCTTCCCTTAAACTAAGAGATTAAAATCACTTCATATCTTTCTTTTTACGAACCAATTCTTTCTTCTTGTACTATATTTCTATAAGCAATCTTTCTCTTATATATTACCACCTTTGACCTAACCACTGCTATGAATCCAGTGTTCATCTTGTTGTGTTAATGCGGTATGGCAACCTGGACCGATGCACATATGTGCCTGGTCCTACGTTGTAGCTGACTGACTGATTTTCGATCCATTGACATAAGCTACAGCATATTCAATATGCTTTAGCTTATTGAACAATTAAACCAACGATAATTGTTCAGTGTCTTACTGAAGAAATACATCCTAACATATTCAAATTATGACCCATTAAGAATGCATGTCTATCCAGTTGTTCAGAAAACGAAAACCCGATTAAGTACTCGTCCCGGATAATTCATCATAATGGGAAACAATGTATAGATGAATAATTTCAAAGTCATTTGTATGGGATATACATCCTTCACTAAAGTACTTGTCGGCCGTTCATCAGTAAGTGAAAAAGCTATTTTGACAGGTCACAACTACAAATAATGTCTAAACTGTAGTTAGATTCATAGATAACGTCAGCCTAACGTAATGTCGTTGTATATTACTTGTGTATTCATATTTTCACGAATGAACTGAAATGTTGTTTGCTGTTACTTTAAAGCATTGATTGAATAATCTGGCCAACCTTTATTAAAACTAGTAGTTATTTAATTCCATTTCCCCGGTAGTATGCATATTTACCAACCGACTAATAGAGTACTGTTTTTGGCCACAGGTACCCCAGCCTTCGAACCATTATAAAGCGAATGACGAAAAGAATCCGACCTCAAGGACAAGTTGGAGTAGGCGATATTGAGGACGGTGTCTCGGAGCATATGAAACGTAAATGGGAACCACCAAACTGGCGGGCTCAACTTAGCAATATTCGGAAAATGCGCGAAAGTCGCGACGCCCCGGTAGACTCGATGGGTTGCGAAAGATTGGCTGACGAAACAGAACACCCGAAAGTATGATAGTCTTTGCTAAATATTTTGAAACTCATAGACATTCAGATTGCAGGTACTGATAAGTCTTATGTTGTCAAGCCAGACGAAAGATCAAATTACGGCAGCTGCAATGGAGCGTCTGAAGTTGAGAGGGTGCACGCTTACAACGTTGACAAGCATGAAGACAGAAGACTTGCAGGAATTGATATACCCAGTGGGATTTTATAAGGTAGCATCTAAGTTCACCAGAGCTTCTCTTAGACAAAAGCTTTGAATATAAAGAAAACGTGCGAGATCTTAAAGGAAAAATACAACTCAGATATACCAGAGACTGTTGAGGAGTTATGCACCTTGCCTGGTTAATGTGTTTACATTTTCTATTGACCACTCTAGGTGTCGGTCCGAAAATGGCATATTTAGCAATGCAGTGTGCGTGGAAAAAAGTGACTGGAATCGGTGTCGATACACATGTACATCGAATTATCAATCGTTTAAAATGGAACAAAAACCAACCAAATCTCCAGAAGAAACTCGTCTGGCCCTCGAAGAATGGTTCCCAAGGTAGTAATTGGAATATAATTGGTAAATACCTAAAGAGTTGTAATTCATGTTTGTGGGAAACAGTATCGTGCTAGTCGGTTATTTTTTCGTTGGAATTTTATCTTTGTGTTAATCTGGACAGGTATATAGATCATTCAAGGGAGGGGACTTCAATGAAAACCAAACTTTAAGCATCTGATTATTTCACTATGTTTTGTCATTTGTGGATAGAAATCCATTCAACACCAGTTGAGCGTATTTAAAGCCCTTTAAACATCAAAGTGGATACAAAAAATAGTTGCGGGCCTCGCCTACTTCGGGTTTTGGCAGACGTTTGGTATTACCAAACCCACATGGCTTGGTGAAACGTTATAAAACAAATAAGTCGACCACATATTTGAATTAACAATATTTATTATCGGTGGCTTTATTCAGTACCACGTTTTTGGTGAATTATAGGATTCTTAACACAAGGTGTTTAATTTTCTTTTTAAAAAGAGATTGATAACTGCATACATACAAACGAAAGTTGAGTAGATAAACTACCTATGACAAATTGAAATGTTTGTTAAGATCTGAATCTGTACTTCTTCAATTAGAAAAATGTTTGAGAATACAAGCTATTGACTAGGTTAATTCTGACAATCTGTCGTCACGATCAATGTCTATTCCCGATTTGCTAGATAAGGTGTTGTGGAGCTTTTTTATTACATTTGCTTGCGTGCATGGATTTTAATGTATTGACGTTTCGTCCTACCCGAAGATATACAAGAAAATATGAATGAGGTGAATGTTTAGTGTCTGATAAAATAACATTTACTAGGAGTTCGCAAGACTTTAGATTAATGACCCCAAAAGATTCACCACACACCCTGTTAACTGCCTTCAGCACTCCGCAATACAACGTCAGATGGAGACTGCGATGATGTTTGCCTAAGTGGTTCAACTTGATGCATGACAGATGGAATCATTTTATTCTAAAGAGACTTCCTCATCGTTAAAACTTTCGTGCTGTTAAGTATTAGACGATAAACAAAAAAGATCGGCCCCTGGAAGGGTTGATAACACTGACCAAAGGTTAAAAATAACCATAGATCAAGTGCCCGACAACTGAGTTTCTTGTTATTTATAATATATGGAGATAACTCATCCTTGTTTTAGTCTCGTGACAATTTTTACGTTAAGAACTAGTCCAGGAACTAAAGAATATTGACCTCTTAATTTATGTACGACAAAAGTAACTTAAGCTGCAGCCTTTGCCATGTTTAAATCTCTCGAATGTATCCTGTTATTTTGAGTAAAAAGCCTCGGAGCTGGAGTAATTACATAAATTTTTAAATGACTGGGCACTTAGATGTTTTCGTCGTCACTGTACGAACCATGAAAGTAAGATATGGCAAAATGATTAACTCCAGTGATCTTTATAGGAAAATGTAATGCAGAAAACCAGAAATTATTTGGCTTTATGATCATACACATACGCTCACTAACTAATTTCGATTGCTTTTAGGGAACACTGGGATGAAATTAATTGGTTACTAGTCGGTTTTGGCCAACAAATTTGTCGCCCAGTAAATCCAAACTGTAAAGAATGTTTAAATCTATCAATTTGTCCATCTGCGTCGAAATCTCATACGAAAACAAAGAAGATCTAATTTGAAGATCGACAATTTGCATTTATCTCCCATTTCAACTACTACAAAATACTTTCTGAGATCATAAGTTATTTTTTTAAATAAATAAAGCAATCATAATCAAAGCTCGTATGTTCCAGATTCAGTTCGTGAACAGATTTGGGATTTATTACTTCAACTATGCTTGTTAGATACGGACCAAACTGGAAGATAAGGGAATGAAACAATATATTATAAATTTACACAATATGTATATTTAGTTATTGGAAAGCCTGCATTTCTTTAAATATTAGTTTACCAACGGAATAACAATTATCTGTTAAGAAATTGATTATAATTTATTTTTATCAAGTTTAAGTAATAAGTAAGTTTCTTAAAATCAGGAATGTATTCATCATAATTGACACGGGAAATGTAAGTGATGAGCCAAAGCCCTGTGAAGAAACAAACCAGACTATTGTATATAGAAGTGCAGTTCCCGGATGTATTGATGAAATGGTGCGCAAATTTGTTCTTGTGCTTTTCGTAACAAGTTCGTCTATTAGATGATAAGGTTTGATGGCACAACAGAGAACGCGCTGCTACTACACTAGTTTGTGCAGTATGGTAATATCAGTGCCATTGACAAAGTTTGTGTACATACACATACTCGATAGGGTGGATGGATTACAATATTTAAATATGAGTTGGTTACATAGGCTAATATCGTTTTTAGTTATTTCTCATACTCGTCAAGTGCTCTACCAACTTCCACACTTCGCGACCGTTATAGAGCCTTCTTTTACCCATGATAAGGTGTGATCGTCCTACTTTCCAACAGATTGTTATATTTGCTAACCTATCAGCTATGAATATGGTGACACAGCTTGAGTAAGTGATATCGTCGAAAAGGAGATTCATTTAGCTGAATTGTTTGAAAATCTAGAACTCAAGATATCGAGTCGTAAATGAAGTTTAACACCACGACTGCTTATATAAAGGTCAGAGCATCAGCCAAGACATTCAAAGCTTTCAGAAAAACTAAGTAAAGGATTAAAAAGGAATCGTAGTGCAATGTTAGCGAACTGATAACGTAATTCGGGTATTTAACCACTGCTAATATACGACAGGTCAGTATTATTATCGTGTTATAAATCACACTATTCAGCTAGTCTTTGTCAGCTTTTGATCGACCAGTGACATTTACTCAAACAGGATATATGCATACAATTTAAACTGATAATCCACATATTCTTTTCTTACAACGTGATTTTCACTTTCTGATATTTTGATGTGCATTTACTTATTTTAACCTACTCCTTGTGTTGAGTTATCTATTTAGACTTTTTATTATTCTTATCACTACCAATACATCTGTCATATAACCTTGTCTGAGGTCTTCATAATCCAATCGACCACCAAAAAGAAGAGACAGGGGAGAGAAGGCAACCTTATCTGACTCCGATCCTCAATCGGAATGAGTCTGTTAGCTGTTTTCAATGCATGACTTTGCACTGTAGTCCATCGTATGAATTCTGGATGTTGATGATTCTATCAGATACTCCATAGTGTTTAAGTTCCCATAATGTTCTTCTATCCACACCATCAAATGCTTTATCATAGTCAAGGAAGATTATTTATAGTGACGAGTCCCATTCAACTGATTGTTCAACGATGATCCAGTGTCGCGCTTCGTTCTATACACGACCGATCCTTACGGAATTCAGCTTGTTGATCTTGAAGTTGGGCGTCTACTGAGTCTCTCATCCGGTTCAGCAACATTCTGTTGAAAACTTTTCCGATAGCGACAGTAATATGATGCCTTTGTAGTCCTCACATCTGCTCAGTTCTCCTCTCTTTGGTATCTTGACGAGGTCTACTTTCCAGTCTATCAGAGCCACTTGTTGCTCTTCCCAAATTCTCCTGAATAGAGTGTGGAGCATGCTTGCAGTTGCTTCTATGTCTGATTTCAGTACTTCGGCTGGTATGTTTTCAGGTCCTACTGCTTTTCCACTTTTGATTTGTCTGATGGCCATCCTGATCTCTTCGATCGTTGGTGGAGTGACATCTATAGGAGGGTCTGTATGTATTGATTCAACACCCGGTGGATTCAATAGAGCTGGTCTATTCAAGAATTCCTCGAAGTATTCTACCCATCTATTACTCTGTCCTTGAATTTAGTGACTGGCTTGTCCTCCTTGTCGTTGACCAGTCTCCCTGGTTTACTACATTTCCCTAGCAGTTTCTTCAACGAGTCATGTAGTTGTCTCATACTTCCTTCTGTCACAGATATTTCCACTGTCGTTGTCAGGTCTCCCACGAATTTCTGCTTGTCGGCCCTTATGCTCTTCTTCACTTGCTTGTTTGCTTCTGTGTATTCAGCCTGTGCCTTGACTTTCTGTTTTTGTTCGACTAATGTTAATTGCTGTATTTCTGTTCTTTATTCCTTGAATCCCGTCCAGGGTTTCCATAGAGATCCATTCCTTATGATGATTCTTGCGACCCAGCACCTCCTGACACGTTGAAGTTGATGGTTCTTTGATCCCTTTTCAGCTGTCCTCCATAGTAGTTTCTTCTCCTTTGAGTAGATTTTGTAAGACATGGAACCTGTTGTTGAGAACTATCTTGAATTCGTTAAGTTTGTCAGTATCTCGGAATAAGGTTGTATTGAACCTTTGTAATTTTGTTTCCCCAGTTGTCCAGTCCTTTAGCTGCAGTTTCATCTCTGTCACAACCAGGTAGTGATCAGAGGCTATGTCAGCTCATCTCCTGTTTCTCACACCCTACACTCACCTTTTGAGTTTTTCAGTGACAAATATGAACGATCTAATTGTCCGTAGTGTGGTCCGGTGAGACAAATGCAGCTTTGTGTATGTGTTTGTGTGGGAACATTGTGCGCATATAACTATGCATTTGAATGAACTTAATTTTGTAAATCTGTCACTATTCTCGTTCGTCTTTTTACCAGTCCTCATATAAGAACATGGTTGAACAGGAAAGAAATTATATTCTAAATAACAAAGGTAGATGTAAGTAAGAAGCACAATAAGGAAAAATGTTAGTGTATCTATAGTTTTTACATGGGAAGATTCTAGAGTCTTCTCTAAGTATCGACTAGCGCTGATTGGATAAGAAATAGCCAATCAACATGCAGCAACACAATCGTGCACGAAAGATGCTTTAATCCAATATTTGTTTCGCTAACACAGTCAGCTCATGTCGTCCCATGATATCTCCGTAACCGTTGTTGTCCATTCCGACTTTGGCGTTTAGATCTTCCATCAAGATTGTCAGTTTCTTTCCTGGGCGCTTCGCTACGATCGATTGTAACCTTTCATAAAACTAATTTTTATCGTCCCAATTGCTATCATTGGTGACTGCATAACAGGATAATATTCATTGTCATTCCCTCCTTCTTTGTTTTGAAGGATGATTTGATGATCAAGGGTCTATGAGATTTTCATCCATTAAGTGCATTTCTCGCTTCTTTGGACAGCATCAGTTCAGTTTCATGAGTGTATGGAGCATCTTCCTCTTTGTGACCAGAGTAAAGCGGAATCTCTTTCGTACCTAACCTTTGGTGTCCAGCTAGAGTCCAAAGAGTTTCGTTGATTCCAAGAACCGCCAAGTTTTATCTCCTTATTTCCGTTATTATTGGACTGGTCCTCCCACAATTTCCAGAAGTTTCATGTACCTATAAAAATTGTTGTTCTGGTTGTTAGAAGGGCCATCAGCCTCGTGACTTCCGAATACTCGATTTTCATGATGAGGCGTCATAATTCTTCCTTTCAACTGGAAGAACAGAGTTTAAATAGTTTATTCTGGTTAGCGTTTTTTAGCAAGGTTGTTTTTTCTACAGGTTGGGTTGCCGACCCCACCCCCAACCCTCCTCCTTTACCCGGGCTTGGGACCGGCAGTAGCCCTAGAAGAGCTACAGGCGGAGTTATGACATACGGAGCGTTCTTTAAATTAACTTAGATTCCGAAAAACAAAGCAACTACTTTCCAATCGAGGAATAATCTGAGATCCCCAAATTATAATAAACTTGATACATAACATACTTAGTCACAAAAATTTATTGAACTATTGAAAAAGCAGATATCTAACTCACCAATAATAACCACAAGAATTATAACAGCTAATCCTCCAATAATAAACCACATCTACAATAAAATTAAACAGGAAATGTTTTCGCAAAATTCCATAGTTGACCAAAATAACTATGGAAATTATATTTATTAAGTACAGAACTGCAATCTAAGAGGATTCACTTATAAGAACGTTTAAAAACAGATTAGGCAATAGAACTTTGCGTTTTTAATCATATTGCAGTGGTGAATTTCACAAGCTGGAGAGGTTTCAACATTAATCGACATTTCGTAAGGCAATGTACTGTTTTCTTTCTTTTTAATCTTGTCACTGATACTAGATGAGGAGCGATTCCTATGGTATATATATATATATATATATATATATATATATATATATATATATATATATATATATATATATATATATATATATATATTCAAAGTGATTTTAATTGTACGTAAGCAATTGCTCTGTTAACCGTATTTGTTGTATTGTTTAAGTCATTATGATACACTAATTATTACTTGTAAGGTAATACGAATTAGAAACGGAATTAGTTGAGTTGCAACATTCTAATGAAGTATATGTAAATGTTTTTTTAACAAAAAGGGGAACATTTTATTCAATACTGAATCTGTTCGGTTGAAAAGAAAGTATGATTAAAATTAATTCCAGTAGACTAAGATCTCTCCGCTGTGAGAGAATCCACCTTGGTTCCCAAAAGGAGTGTCGACGATTTTATTAAGCATTAGGATTTCCTATGAGATTAATCCAGCAGAAAAATATCTTTGGTTCTGAGAAAATTCTAACTGCATAAATCTAAGACCAAATAGTCCATCTAATTTTCATCTACAAACAGAAATAACTAAGTTTCTATGTAACTAGACGTTTTACAGTTTAACATAATTCAATCAACATGTACGGATTGCATTTACTAAATTAAGAAAAAAAGCCCTATGAATCTGGCGCCTAAATAAGTCATTTAAGCATACTGACATAAAAAGTAACTTAGAGTAGCAGATGCATACGCAACTTATAAACAAACACACAGATCAATTAAAACATTCTACATAATAAACCAATCATAGAAAAATTTTATACTGTAATGCTCTCTGTTTATTGATTCAGCGACAATGTTTATGATCAATAGTCGTCAGAAACAGAAATAAAATGATAACTCTAAGAAATGTAAATTTACAAAATATCGGTTTGTTAAGGAAGGAAATATGTCAAACTGCACAACATAGTTACTTATAACTAAATAAGCAGAATTGTATATTATTCACAAATGAGATTACTTGAGCTTACGTTTTAAAATTAACGTAAGTCAGTGAGCACGTAAGGGTTCGAGTACCTGACTACGAGGTTTGCTCATTGCTTAGAGGGTTTTATAACTTCTCTAGGTGGATCCTTTGTATCCACGATTCCAATTAACGCGCCGGACATTCACGTTTTGTTCTCTCAATTGCGTAAACAACACACCCGCTATGAGAAGGAAGTGAGTAGGACTATTCTGGAAGTGGTTTTATGCGCGTGGCCATGTGAAAGCATTTCGAGGGGGAGAGTGGACTCTCCCCAAATTCGGTCGTACCAGGGTATGTGTTTGATATTTAAGCCAATGAAACGTCATGAATCAAATAAATTCATGATGATATCGCCGACAGAATAGTGATAATCATTTTTTGACGAAAACTCGCTGGCGAACTTCAGTATTGCTAAACGTTTTGTCGCTGATTAAGATTATTACTTAAAAAACTGATAAGTGGAAACACATTTTCTTGAACATTCTCAGTCCAGAGAGAATAGGCTTCATAGTCACAGGGCGAAACTACTTGTGACGCAGTGTTATGCACCCAATGATTTATGATCAAACTGACTTCGGAACAACATCAAAGAAGATTTAAACTGATGAGTTGCTCATTTTTTCGATAAACGTAGACCAATAACTTCTGCTAGACCACCTGTCCGTGCAAGTACTCAAATGCAAAAACAGTTCAAATATTTATCACAGTTTACTCTTGAGTATAAGAACAGACACAGTTCATCTCTTCCACTTAGAAGCATTTTGATATAATAGAGTATAATTTATACTCAGAGACGATTATCGCCAGCTAATAAAATGCGATTCATATAGGCTACAAAACATTGTACAGAAAGAACTTGTTATCTACATACTTTGTTAACAAAACTAAACCATTACTACATACTTTATTAAGAGCTGTTTTCACAATGCTATCGATGAAAAGTTGAGGAGGGATGGTAAGAGTAAATAGCCTTACAGAAGTTGACTCATGACTTGAAATAATGTACGTGAAGTGATTGTGTATGATCAGTTTACCTGATTTCGTTTTTTATGGAGGTTTCATGATATCAATAAATCTCCTAGGTATTTTCAGAATCAGTGAAAAGTTTCGACGAAACATGTGATTACAGGATAACGACGTCGATTACACGACTGAAATACTACATTCAAGAAGAAACTATTTGTAAACTTCTTAGATGAATCAGAAATTCAACAGATACAAGCTACAGGGGTAAAGACTGAAATTAAGATGAGAAGGAGCATAAAGAAAGTGCATGTAGAATTGCGCAAATATATAAGATGATAACAGAAATCGAGTTTAAAATAAAATTATTGAAGTACGTAAGGATATATTTGAAAGGCGAATCATTTAAATTTCTTATTTCCAAATGTTATACGTGAAGTGAAGGTTAAGATAATATCGAGGTGTTAAAACTGAATTAGTTACTTTCCGAAAAGTGATCGCCTTTACAAACCTTTAATGAAACCACCTGTGCATAAGGCAAAAACGTACCGTTAGAAAAATTGGTTCTGTGATAGCCAGAGAGCATAAAACGTTTTTACATTAATAGCTTGTTACGAACATTAAGACGAATATGCGACTTGTTTGGAATAGAGTTTGCTAACCTTACCAGTCGAATTCTTTGTGTCCATTTACCCAGTCAATCCATCATATCTACTTTTACATTTTTGTTTTTCTGGCAACAGTAGTACAGTAGCCTAGAAAACCTTTGTTAGACAGTACATAACTAAATATCTATTACTTTTTTTCGAGACAAATAGAAAATGTTTATCATCCAATAACATTTAGGTATAGAAAATCCTATAAAAGTGGCATAAAATTAAAAGCTTCAACAAACCATTAACTTATCGTTAACGAAACATTAATTTTCTTTCGCCTTGTCAATTTACCTTCATATTTTGCCAAAAGTATTTTCTTCGTACACGACCAGCAACTGCCTGAAACTGTTTGGATTGAACTTGTAATTCATCTGAAAGAATGGTCAAAGGTCAAATCAAAATAATAATTATTCTACCTAGAAATTGGTATATTTTACAAACAACAATATTATAATAGGATACATCATTTTTAGTAACAAATTTACAAACAAGTTATCAGGTAGAGTGGTTGGTCGACGCAATTTATTTAGTATACCCAAATAACGAATAGTTTTCTAGTAAAAAAAATACGACACAGAAACAGTTATTTTATTCTTAATTACAACTTTGAATGCATTAATATTTTTGTCATCTACACTGAGATATTCATTTCTTAATTGTTATTTGACTATACTAGGATCTAGAAGTCTATGTTTTCTAAATTTAAGAAACTTATCGGTATGCACCTGTTTAAGTTTTTAGCCCGGTTTGTCGAAGGGTTACAAACACCTTGAGGTAGATAAACAAGAAGCATGAAGTCAAAATTCATTAGTCTGACAGTAAGATGCATTAATAATAAGACCGTAAGCCTGGAGAAATTCAGTATTGTGTTACGAAGTATCTGATTATGACGCTGATACATAAACTTCGTACATGCAACCCCAACAGGTTAGTTGGGTGAGAGGACAGCCAGTTAGAAGAATACTTTATTGGTTAAACCGAGCGGAGAATATATGTACAATTATTCATAAACAAACATATATTTCCCTTCACAAGAGAGGTCACATTTGCAACTAGCAGCGTGTTTCGCTCCTTAGAAAAGAGAATCTAAACTTGGTCAATAGCGTTTGCTTATAATCTGTTTAACTAGCCCACTAAATCATCAGTCAGTTAAGTGAGTCACTACACAGAGGGCTCTTTGATTTTCAGTAACTGTTCGGTGACGCTAAAAATACAACTTACAAAATATAAATGAATGAAATTATGAACCGATCAACGTGAGACCACCATTGAAAACCTATAAGCACTGGATGGCTGTTTCGTCTTATTATGGGACTTATCAGTATTGAGTATCCACAATACCGCATACGGGACTCGAGCTCAGGGCCTAACATTGCTCCGTCCATGATCCTAATGAAATTTGACAATTTCGATAACTCATACTGACGAATAAATGAGTTTGGATATCACAAATGACTAAGAATATTTTGAAAATGAGAGTACTGTATACTGAGTGAACGCTTTAGGCTATTTCGTGTATAAATGAGATAAGTAATGCTGACCAATACATTATCGTGTGCATAGTTTGATAATTAGACTAGGTTGTCGTTTAAAGTGTCATGGGATATTAGAATTTTGTTGTCATGTTATGACTGTTGTTGAGTAAATGTTAGTGATTCCGATTATACGTACGTACAATAAAGCGTTTATTATCGAACAGGCTACTTAACCCCGCCGTTATCAAATAAAAATAACAGCGTTCATGGAATTTAATGCAGTTGAGACACGAAGTAACTTCTCGATACTAGCCAAACTGTCCCAAGCACTGATCAAAGTTTAGTTTACCAATCCTGAAATGCACTGAAGCGACCAAATAGAGTGACGTTACACTGTAAATTTCTTTCTGGTACAAGACAAGACGTTCAAAGCCAGTCGGTTGAAAATCACAAACCTTAATTTTGTATCGTCCTTGTTGACTTTCCTTACAAAATGAACGCTGAAAACTCTGAGGGACTTCTCTGAGTGAAGATATTTAAGGACATTACAATTAAGCTTCACTAAAATTGAGCATTTAGTTTAATGACCATACAGGAAATAGTGATTAATATACTTCGACAGTCAGTTATGACATAAGCATAGGAGTTGATACTAGTCCACAGCTAATTTCATTTATGAATTACGTATATGGAGGTTATCCGTTGAGGTTGAACAGAAATATGAGGAAGGATTTTATGCTACTGCACTACCCCATGATTTTCAAATTGTCCATTAGACATCTGTAAAGAAATTGGATACACTGGTACGAAAAAAACAATGGCTAAAGTAATTTCTAAGTGTTTTGATCAAAATGTATTGCTTATTAACAGAGAAATGAACATATGACAAAAATATTTTTTGCGGGATTCCAATTAAAGAGGTTATATATATTTAACTTAAAAGGAAAAATGTCAGTTTATGAAAAACTGTGGCTACTATAAGTGGTTCATAATTTTATTTACATAACATAAAACTAAAAATTATTTAAAATTTTTAGAGATAGTGAATAACTAGTCGTACTAGAAGTGACATGATAAAAAATTTCCTGTAAAATTCACGTGGACTGACTGTTACAAAAGGAAAAATAAAGCTACATGGAGAGTCGACGATAGATTCGCTTTACAGTTTTGATCCTATGTGCCGAAATACTTTATAAAATCGATATACATACAAAAGAGGTATTAATAAAACATACTAATTGAAATTGGTCTTTTCTACGAGTTGGTGATAAGTAGAGGCTTTAATATTAACCAAAAATTAATTTGAAAGTGAACAAACTTACAAAGAAAATATAAGTTTTAATTGCAATCATTTTACTTCTTTAGACACTTTTAAGATCGTTCGTGAAATTGTATAGGTAAATTTTTAAAAAAGAACACAAAAGTTGAACTTCAGGGATGAACGCTATTATCACCTGGTAGAGAGTACAGAAACTTTGAAGAATCATATATTCTATTGATTCAGAAAATAAGAAATTTAAATTTGAACAACTCCCAGTTACATAAAATACTTATAAACTATTAGAAAGATTCCATAAACTACTTATCAAGAAGCTAAAAGTAGGTCCAAAGTGTATTCCTTTTTTAGTTTATAGCATTTGTCAAATTATATGAAGAAATAGGTTACATTTAGGAGTAATTTACCGTCAAGAGTAGAAGTGCCATAGGCAACGGATCTTCAGTGAAACAAGAGACTACTGCTGATTCTCATAAAGTAGTAGGTATTTAGTGAGTACCAAATAAATTTTTCGAGTATAAAATATATTCATTATATGATCACAGGTCGAAATTCATAGGCTACATCAATAAATAATTACTCTACTGGATATCGTAATACAAATATATTCACAAGTAGAATTTAATTCGATTTTGTATAATTTGTCCACACTCATAGTTCTAGTTTTTCATTTTAGGCAATATGAGTAAAAGGTTAGATAATAGTATACCGTTAAAGATGCATTCATATTCAAAGTTTTGAAATCAACCACAACATGCATTAAGGAGACAAATAGGTGGACATTTCCACCGCTAAGTGATTGCATATAAAGTAGAGAAAATGAGGGTTATGTGTATAATGATAATGTTACGAATAGGGTGCAACTATTATTTTTGTTTCTATCTTGCACTCGGTTAAACTTCACTACTTAACACATCTGCAAACTTTTCCAGTTAATCTACATCAATCAACTATGTAAGCAAATAATTAACAATATAATATATGGGAAGGACATCAACAACCGATTGTTAAGAGTATAATTAAAACTAATCACTTGAAGTATATGGAAATTAGTTTGTATTAAAAACAGAAAAAGAATCCCAATTAAGCATACAGTATAATCAAGAGACAAAACTACACTAGATGTCCAACTAAAAAGGACCATGAAAAAAACTAAGTGAATATATATCTGAGTTCAGTTAAAGAAACAATGTAGGAGTGCGGTGTTTCGAAGAAAAAATATACGACATTAAGTTACTGTGTGAAAAGTGACCAGAATACAATCTTCGGTAAGACACAACACAATTTACATATAATAACAAACGATATCTCACCGATTTCATTCAAGTGTTATAAGGCAAGTTGAACTAGCAATATTCATTCATTCTCACACTAAAGTGAACAAATATCATAGAGACATATCACGTATTAGAGGACTAAATGATTAGAAAATATAATAGATAGGAAAACAATTGGTTGTTTCATCGTGGCTAAAGAAATAATTTATTTATCAACAAGTCACAAGTCGGGGGCTTGCTACACTTATTCTGCTATGCGTAACCAGATCGTAGAACTGTCCTTCACACAAATGGTATTGGTGAGAGGTGAGTAGATAAATCTGTACCTGTTTGAGCCAGTGCTATTTATTAGATGTTCCAAGGTATATGTTAATGATCAGCTTATATCCGAATATAAATATGAATTAAATCATGGAATTTATTTTGTTCTATTTAGGATCACTTTAGTTCTCCAAATCATAACAGGAAATTATGAGGGATATATCACTTTCAATACAATATAAGTCATTAATGTATGTTAATGTACATAAATTGATAAAAGACATAGTACATTTAACTTACAGTTACGTGACTAGCAGTGACAATAAGAAATCTGGATTATTCTCGCAATTTAGATCACGGACTGATCTTAGCTAGGTCACCACTGAAGGCTTGAAAGCAGTGGGCGGACGATTTGTCCTAGTATGAGACTCAACAGTGCGGATTCACGACCTCGTATCCAGAAAGAGAAACCAGAACCTTCGACCTCGCCCGCGAGCGCTAAACCTCTAGATCACTGAGTCGGCATCCAGTGGCATTAATTTCGAACTCCAATCAAATCATGATAATGTGCACCCGAAACAGATTCCAGATTTTCAATGGTAGTCTAGCCAAGATCAGTTCGTGATTTAAACTGTGAAAATTCCACAATTCCTGAAAACCGCTTATACTAAGATACAGATTGAACAATACCTAGAAAATATAAAGTGTGACTACGAAAAATTAGGCATTATACCTTCAGTAATTAAACTGAATAAATTGTAATCCAGTTCGCAGAAACTAAAAAGTTGAAGCACAAAAACTTATATACTACGGAGTGATTGGTGACACAATAAACCGAAAGTGATAAAATGAATTTTTTTATTAGAAACAATATATAGAACATTAACCGGGTTAGAAAATACGTCCAACTGTGGTTTAGATTGAATGATATCACGAAAGACATCTCTTGAAATTATACAAATGATTATCTTGTAGACTATTTTATGTTATTCCAAAAAACATTAAACATAAATATGAACTAGCGAAGATCACTTTTATGGGATTTATCACTGTATCAACAAAATTGTAGTACTGACTTAGCG